AAGTAATGTTATTTAAAATTAATCCCTTTAAATTTTAATTATAAATCACTGGTGGTTTTTTACACTTAGATACCACTTGCATTTCTTTTTTTCCCTGTGACTTATCCATTCACATCTTTTTCCCATTTTTTTTTTTCTTTTGGGTTGGCCCTTCTGGATTATAAAAATGGTTTGTCAGCTACAGGAGCGCCCACTGATTTCCCTCTTTTACTCATGTGCTTCCCCCTCCCACCAAGCATCCCCGCCCCCCTCGGCCGCTGTCCTTAAAAGTCCTTTCTCTTGACCCTCCCTGCCTGCACCACCCCAGCTGGTCCTGGTCCTGGTGAGTTCCTCAAGCCTCTCTAGGAAGCCTGTCCCCACTGTTCCCTTCCCCAGCCCCTGTCCTGTGCCAGGGAAAACCCAGTTATTTATTGGAGTCTGTGTCCCTCTTTGGCTTGGATGGTTTTCGCAGTCAGGCATCATCTTTGCATTTGCACAGTCTGGTGTGGAAGCTGGTATATAAACAATGTATTCAACAATCGTTACTGAATGCATGAACAAGATTAAAAAAAAAAAAAAAAGATCGCTGCCTTCTAAAGATGTCAGCTTTGTTGTGCAGCTTAGCGCACACCACAGCTCAGCTAAGAAATAACATCTGCTAGCTTTTCTCTTTGCAAAGAAGAGACTGTCCCCACAACACTTCTGTTCATGTGTGGGTGATTTTCACGTGTGATTCTAGTGCTTGGAGTTTCTTGGGGAAGACTGTGACAGGTTCTGTGCAAACTCTAGCCTTCCTGGCTCCTTTTTTCCAGTCTCTTCCTGCTGCGTGTGACAGGGTTTTAGCCTGACCTTCAGATGACACTCAGAGGACCGGAGTGAAGAGGGGGGATGGAGGAAGGGTGTTTCAGAGCGGGAACTACAATTTGAGCAAAGCATTGGGGGGACGTGAACTACCATCAAGAAGGTTCGGGAATACATGTAATCTTTTACGTTCAGAAAGTAATGGTTCAACTGCTGCCTGTTTTATTTCCTCTGAAATCATTGCATGTAGAACTGACAGCATCAGCTGCTGACATTTTAGATGTGTGTTGATGCTGAAGTGATGCAATGTAATGAAAATGCAGCACATCCCTTCGACATTCCCTCTCAATTACAATTTAAAACACACGGGGACAGAACAGTGTATACCTGATTCAAATGTATAGCTCTGGGGGTGTTATTATTTCTTTAACTTTCTGAACAGCTTAAGTTGGGACCGTTTCAGAATGAGTCTTGGGACAAGGTCTCTATAGGTGAATGGCTCCATGCAGCACAGAAAATGTTCTCAGGATGATCTCAGCTGGGCAGGTACCTGCGGCAATTCTGCATGAGCCTGGGCTCCAAGCTGACGTAGGAGGACCCCCAAAGTGGAATTTGTGCCATCTTCATAGTTTCTAGGGGTCATATGGTAGTAGAACAAGCAGAAATCTTTATCACTAGTCACAGGTTAACTGAGGCTGAGGCATAATTTAAGTCCCAATTCCTAGGGAGGAATCAATGTATCAGCCTTTATAAAAGAAGCCAGACAGACCTACATCATCTTTGAGGTCCAAATCTTAGCTCTTCTGACAGTATAGTCTTTAGAGAGGTAGGTGTGTGTGTGTGTGTGTGTGTGTGTGTGTGTGTTGGCTTCCAAAGACTTGCTTTGTGATCTGATAATAGAATGTTTAATCCAGGTCACACATTCATTAAAGCCTAAATGTAATTAATATCACATTAATCCATAAAATAAAGATGATGGTTGTTTCAAGAGGAATCTAGTAAAGGATACAAAAGAGATGTCTTGGTATCCTCGTCTTAGATTGGAAACAGGAAATTGCTGGCAGGCAGAGCTGTGGTCCCAGTCATTTAACTAGGGTGTTGCAGCTCAGATTATAGGTAATAATTCAAGTGTTTTAGGATCATAACATAGGTTCATTTTGTCATAGTTTATAGTTAAGAAAATATAGTCACTTCACAGATACATAGCCGGGCTTCAGAATTCAAGAACAAACTAAATTAATGATTGAATAAAGTAGATAAAAGATGTTAGTCTAAAGACCCACTGCCCTGGACTAAGAAGCAGAATATGCTCCTAAGTAAATATCTGCTGAAAATCTGCTTTCCCCCAAAATGAGCCACAAATGTCACCTACTAGGGTTATGTTTAGTTCCAAATTGTGTCTCTTTTCACAAAGTGAAAAGAATCTTCTGAAATGTCTAAATTCTAATCTGCATTGAATCACTTGGGTCCAGAATAAATACATGTCAATACACAATTACAAATATGCTTGAAAAGAACTATGAAATTTATATTCAGAAACATCTTTAAATACCAGAAAGCACGGGCATGTTGTAAACAAAAAATATTGTTGCATTTCATTGTCTGTAACAAAATACAATATGACTAAAGCTATTATGTAGGTGCCAGGAGAAGGTTGTTTATATTACCACTAGAGGCCCGGAACACAGATTCATGCACTGGTGGTGTCCCTCAGACTGGCCTGTGCCCTCTCGCAATCTGGGGCAGCTCGGAGGACGTAGCAGTGCGTGAAGCAGCAGGCAGCCTGGGAGGAGCCCGAGCGCACATGGCTCCTGCTCACCCCGGCCCTGCTGTGCCTGCTGCCACCACTTGATAGCGCTGCTGAGGAGGCAGGAGAGGCTTGCGCCACTGCAGCTGTGCTTGCCAGCCATGAGCCCAGCTTCTGGCTGAGCAGCGCTCCTGCTGTGGGAACGCACTGACCACAAGGGGGCAGCTCCTGCAGTGAGCGTCTGCCCCCAGGTGGTAAGTGCGCATCATGGCAACTGGTTGGCTGGTCGTTTGGTCACTTAGGCTTTTATATATATAGATTAGCTGCCTGCCTTCCTAGCTTAGTGTTCTTTTCTGCTTTTGTTCTTCTGCACCCAGATTTAGACTACTCTGTCTATATATTTACAGATTAATTCCTCCATAAAAGGAGTGGCACTGGGGAGGTTAGGAGATGAATAAATTGATTCTAATCATTCCCCAAACAAATAACCTCACCTCCTCACCCTCTTCCCTGTTGTATTTTCTTACAAATAAAGGAAAGTAAATGTATCACCTGTAATTCCTGGAGCCCAGCGCCTTCCATATCTAGAATAAGCTTTCAGTCAACTAGAGGTTTATTGCTTTGTTTTTGTTTTGTTTTTTGTCCCCTAGGCCTGTTGTAGTCTACTCTTATGAAACAAGCAAATTGTAAGAAAATTATAATTTCCCTTGCCTCCTATTGTTATACATTTGGGTAAATCTGCAGTAAAAGTATCAAAATTCAGGTTCAGGGAATGAAAGGGGTGGAAGGCTTGCCCCTGCCCCATGTGAATGAGAGAAAATTTCACAGACCGGGTGCTAGGCTTGTTTATTCTTGCACATTCACAGAGACTGAACATTTCGCTAGATTTTCCAAACCAGTGTTTTCTACTCTTGGGGTAAATATACTGGCTGAATTGTTAGAAAAGGGTTAGTCAGGGACAGCAGGAACTGCTCTTCACAGATGTTCTTTCAGAAAGCAAAGTAATATGACAGCATCCATTAAGAGCATCCTGCCAGATTCCCCAGGGCTAGCAAGTCAGGGACTGTGGCCCCCAGGAGGCACCTCACCGCTCCTGCCAGCTTCCTTCAGAATGTTCCTTGGACTGCAGTCACCATGTGGTAGCAGAACGACGGTGGAATATAGAAGGCCCTCCGTTGCCTTGTTCCTCAGTCCCCGGTCATGTATGTGCTCACTAATTTTAAAAAGGAGCATTTTGCTTGTTGTTTTGGGGAAATATCAGACTATTAATTAGAATTAAAAGTCACTGCCAGAAGGGAAGAAACAAGTAAAAAGACTATGCAATAATAGGTACTTAAGAGGAAACTACATGTTAAATGATCCAGTCTCTCAGGAGAGGTCCTCTAGCTGGCTTGGGGAACTAGAGTGCTTTTATGGAGAAGTATCTGCCTGCTCTGTTCCTTAGACCTCCCCCAAGGCCTAACCTGGACCCTCCCTTCTCTATAGGACAGTGTAGATAGGCAGAGATGGGATTACAAAAAGGCTCAGATCCCAGACCCACAAGCCAAACCTAGTATCATGTTGTCCAGGGGTCCTCTGACCTATGGATATACAGGCAGACTAAGAATTAACCCCAACTAAAGAGTTTTGCCCGACTCAGAACCTCATTCACAAGGCAACACTATGTCCTTTCCAGGCCAGAGAGGGAAGTATTTCTGTTATCAACATGCATTCTCTATCATGTGAGGCTTATTTTCAATTTGATGAGTCTATCATTTATTTGAAAGACTAAAGCAAAATGATACTAATTCATGCCCAGCCTCCAAATCTTCACATTGTTAGCTAATAACTTTAAGTAGTATGGATAATTCATTGTAGATTCTTAAAATTAATGACATAATCATGTTCTAATCAACGGAGGTCACACAAGGACAACTTCAATGTCAAATATGAGCAACCCAGGTAAATAATATAACTTAATTTGATTTACTCCAGATTTTATGTTGGTCCTAAACTACTTGATATTCTGAGAAGCATTAAACTCCCCAGTGTTCAACAGAGTCATGCTCACAGGCAGGTTAGAAAATCAGATGCTACAGTGAAGGAATTCTCTAGTAAGAACACAGTATTTTCCAGATGGCTTATTTTTCTTGTTTTTCACTAGGATATGGAATTACACAGTATGCTTTGGTGGTTTAAATTCAGCCTCTTGAACCCGAGTTCATCTTCTAGCTCTACTACTTCCAAACTGGTGATCTTGGGAACATGGTTTAATCTAACTGTGCCTCCGTTTTGTCATCCTATAAAGTATTAGTACCCATCCCACAGAGTTGTTGTGAAGATTAAATGAGTTTATACACGTCAATGTCTGGCACACAATAAAGGTTCACTGTTGCTATCATCAATAGAAGATAGTTCTAGTAACGTGCAAGCTTGTAGCCACTTCAGTGGGAACCGTATGACCTTTTTTTGAATGTTCTCTCCCTTCCAACAGGAAAATGGCAGATGCACGAGGGCGGCCTCCTGAACATCACCAAGGTGTCTTTTTCAGACCGAGGGAAATACACATGTGTTGCCTCTAATGCCTATGGCATTGTGAACAACACGGTGACCCTGCGCGTCATCTTCACCTCGGGAGACATGGGTGTCTACTACATGGTGGTCTGCCTCGTGGCCTTCACCATCGTCATGGTCCTCAACATCACCCGCCTGTGTATGATGAGCAGCCACCTGAAGAAGACAGAGAAGGCCATCAATGAGTTCTTTAGGACAGAAGGCGCGGAGAAGCTGCAGAAGGCATTCGAGATCGCCAAGCGGATCCCCATCATCACCTCAGCCAAAACTCTAGAGCTTGCCAAAGTCACCCAATTCAAAACCATGGAGTTTGCCCGCTACATTGAAGAGCTGGCCAGGAGCGTGCCTCTGCCTCCTCTCATTATGAACTGCAGAACCATCATGGAGGAAATCATGGAGGTGGTCAGGCTGGAGGAGCAGGGGCAGAATTTTGTGCAGCACACGCCAGAAGGCCAAGAGGCCATGGACAGGGATGAGGTGTACATGATCCGAAACTCTCTTAAGCGAAGTGACTCCCCCACCGCTGACTCAGACGCTTCATCGCTGCATGAACAGCCTCAGCAGATTGCCATCAAGGTGTCCGTACATCCACAATCCAAAAAAGATCATGTGGATGACCAAGAGGGTGTACAGTTTGAAGATGTCAAAGATGAAGAGGACACAGAACTGTCAGCTGAACAATCCCCAGAAACTGTAGAGCCTTCTACAGATGAAACATCCACAGAGCTAACGCCTGAAGAGCCCACGCCCATTGATCCCATGGATGTTGAGCCCACGCCTGTTGAGGTATCAGATAGAGTCCCGCCGCCTGCTCACCTGGAAACTACAGAGCTGGCAGTGGCACATGAAAGAAACACCTGCATTATTTATGAAAGCCATGTCTAATATCAACTCTGAAAAGCTATGCATATTAAGAAAACCAGGGGCTGCTCCTCGTAGTCCAGATGTAGTACGCACTTGCCGCTAAGCCTTACAAGGAGACTCTCATCCCCTAGGTAGGAGTGATGCTATTGTAGAAGGGGAAACACCTGTGTGCAGTCCTTGTGACTGGACCTTCCCCAGGAGAAAAGGATGCAGGAAACATCAGGGTGCAGGATTGATGCTATTGTCCAAGTGATACAAGTTTTAGAGACGATTCTCTGCCAAATACCGTCATTGGTAATGCCCTTTTGGCAAAGAGTACACTACTGTAAGATAAATTTTGAGTTCAAGAGCCCTGTCCAATGCACACTGCATTGCTTTTCTTTTTAAAAAAATTACAGGTCTGCTACAATAGCAAATGCACGTATATGGGTTTGTTGCACTTTCTTCTCAGTCTTTGTTCCTTTCACTGTTCCTTGATAATGGAGTAGTTGTTGTTATATTAATACTAATTGCTCTTTCTGATTTGGTCTTCTTTGTCCTTGCTTTCCCCTAGAACATTTACCTCAGAGGCGTTGGTATCAGTCACCAGTACCAGGGCTGATATCTACAAGTCATTTATAATGTTCCAGAGTAGTCACTAGACTCCTTGTTTTTATTATTTCCAAGGCCTATTTTCATACCTTGATTTTTACTTGTTTCCAATGAAGCTGCTGTAAGTGAAACTGAGAAAACCTTTGCCCAGGAACAGCACTTTAATAGCCAAATGAAAACGTGTTTACCTGTCCGATTCTGAGAGCCTTTGTGTGAGCTCAACTGAAGTGTGGTGGTGGTGGTGGATTATAAAAGGTTGAGTATACTCATAATAACCATGAAAACTGCTGTTTTTACATTTAAGTAACATCATCCTCCAAACAAAAACTGATGTTTATCTGGAAAATTTATTGCTTCCTAAGTCAGAGGCATTTGATGAATCCCTGTAAGGTTGTATAGTATTAGCTACCCAGAAGGACTTGCAGGGAAGGCTGTCCTATATAATAAAGAGCTTATATGCTAATTAGACCAAACAGCAGAACGACCATCCGGACGACCTCCGGACAACCATCTGGACGACCTTCCAGACGAAGCTGGGGCTGTGAGGGCAGAGCCCCTTGCATGAATTTCATGCATAGGGCCTCTAGTATTATAATAGTATAGGAAACTGTACCATCAAATTTCATGCCAAAAGTATTAAATTAATTTTTAATCTCACAAGAAAGCGGTTATATGCAAGGCAGAATGATGTCATAGACAAAGGACAAAACTAGTCATCCAAAGGCCAACACCTTACCTGACCGTGCCAATAACCAGCTGCCTGGCTTTAGGCAAATCTGGGTTTCAGTTTCCTTATCTGTCAGAAGACTTGGTGAGTTCTGAGCACCATTTAAATAGTCTCATTCTCTCACAGAACCAAACCAATACTATTATCCTTGTTCTTTTTCACAGTTACTTTAAAGATTTTCATTTGTATCTCTAACGTTGTTTATGCTGCATTACTTACTCAGTAATGAGTAAGTATGATTTTCAAAAATCATAGCATTTTAAGTAAATTGTGGATCTTTTCCCTCCCTTCCCCCCCCCCAAATTAATCATGTGACCACTTCTACAGTTTAGATTTAATCATGATGAGAACAAGTGGTGTTATTTCATTTTTACTTAAGAGCAGGGAGATACTAACATTAAAGCAGTTATAAGGGTCATGGCTGATGGGGTCATGACATCAGAGATTAGTTACATGGACCACACTGGTAATGAGAGAGCAGATGCAGATGTTTAGTCCTTAATCTATCACTCTCTGGATAAGTGACCTTGGACAGTCCCCTTCTCCATTCTGGGGTTTAATCTTTTTACTTACAAAGTATAGGGGTGGTTGTGCTCACAAAATCCCTTCTCGCTCATACATTTAAAGTTTTATGGAAAGTTTGTAATCTCTCATGGTGGCCCCCATAGCAAGACATGCAATATTAGGAGCAAAAATGGGTACATGAGATTGGATGTTTTCGCTGTCCAAACTTTACAGCAAATGTCTCTAGCTCTGTAGCTGAAGGCAGTGGGTATGGCTTTAGGAATGGCTTTGACAGTTTTTTTACTCATAGATACCTGATGTTGAAGGCATACTCACAAGATGTGGAGTTTGATCAGACATCTCTTAGTCAGGAATGAACTGTTGGCATCTTGGGTGGTCACATAAAGAAATTAGTAGTGAGCAAACAAGAGAAACCATGACTCCTGATTGGGCTCTCCTGACTGGGATTTTATGTATTTGGGTGCAGAAAAGTTTTCTCTCCAACTCTCACTTGTTATAGAGGTCAACAAATTCTTACCAGGGATCTGTATGCCCAAAACAATAGACTTAAGCTCACTTTGGGGTATTGGGAGAACTGTTTCTCAATGTATTCAGTTTTCATTCCACCCAAACCCATGTGCATATTTCCACATGAAAATTACAGGAGAAGACATCTATTTCGTCTAGACATTGATTCAGGGTAAAACGTTTAAAATGGGCAAATTTTTTACGATGTAGGAGCAGAAATGTGTGACCAAAGAATGTTTCCATTTTGCTTTTAGCTTCTTTAGACTGAGGAAATTATATAGATTTTCAAAATGTTCTCCCTCTTTAAAGCATCAAAAAGCTCTTGATATAATAATAGCCAACCTAAAGGGAAATTAGCTTACAACAGAGATTTCTCCTCCCAGAAATTCTACACTCTTCCTATTCATCCTATTGCTTCTTACAAAGGGAGAAAGGTTCTCCTGCTAGAAATGTAGATGACCTTGTGACTTTCAGCTGATTTTCAAAGATAAATAACTGCTCAGATTCATAGAGGTATGGCTGTGTGTGCGTGCGCGCGCGTGTGTGCGTGTGCATGCGCACGAGCATTCACAACACACGTCAGACTCATTTGGGCAGTTTTAAAAGCTTAACACCAAATCCCAAGACATGTTCCTTGGGTTGTATGTAGTCATTCTCAAAATCAAACAATTTCTGGTTTCTGAGACATCTGGTTATATCTCTAGCAATTTTTTTCTTGAAATTCTAAAAATAATTCAGATATGTATGCATATTTAATTCACTTAGGTGATCTGCAAACTTGGATGGTATTTATTGTAAATGGGAAAAATTTATAATGAAAAATCTATGTAATTTATAGTGGTTTTGTTTAATATATTATATTTTCATATCGTTAGGGCACATCTACTCTTCTCATCTTTTTGTATATCATACTTAGTAAAAAGAAATACTAATACTTGACTAAAATCTCTAGGAACTAAATGTGATGCCTAATCTATAGAAATCACTCTGATAATATGTGAATGTTCTCACCCATACCAAGCATTATTATGTCATTACATCAAGAATGATCTGTCTCAGATACTTACAAGCATTCCTTTTTTTTTTTTTTTTTTTTTTCAAAACTATGGATTCTGGAATCCACTTCCTTTCTTTTTCTTTTTTGTTGTTTGCTACATTTTTAATTGTGTATGTTGTTTAAGCTTCCCTTTAAAGGGCAAGTGTGAGATAAGAAAACAACTTAATGGAAAGACAATTGAACTATGGCTCTGTAGATTCTTTAATGGACTGATAACCTGTTTTAAATCTAATGCTTGGGTTGTTATTTATTAGTGATCTAAGATCTGCTCACTTCTTTAGTACATGAAGAAAATGTGAGGCACAATGAATATTTGCATGTTTTGTAGAGGCACACTCTCAATGTGGTGCAGCCAACACAAATCAAGTTCACTACAGAAATACCAATCCCAACCATGGGAGGAACCGTTTTACAAAGGCAAATCAGGCATCTTTTATTCACAAATGGAAATATTGTGTCAGTGTTGAAATTCTGAAATGGTTCTGCTAAAGGGGGGATTTCCTCTGTGTTTCATTTGGTAAGAAAATGGAGCGTTTAACTCCTCTTTCAGATACTCTATTTTATACTCAGCACGGTTCAACTACTGACCTATACCTATCTTCCCATATCCTTTTAGCAATCCCTTAAGATTATTATTCCTGTTTCTATTAGATTTTTAAACTAATTTATTGTACTCTTTAAATACCTACCAGATCTCATGGTATATTCCCACATATTTTGAACACCTGATATCTTTACGATTTCAGGTGCTCAAAATATTCATTTTTATATTTACCTATTCATTTAAAAGCCCTTCAGTAGATGACAACATTCATTTTCCTATTGCCTTTCTTAGGGCTTCTACAATGATTAATCTAGTTTGGATTAAATAAATCAGTGGTGGGGGGGAAATCAAGTAAAATAGAACTGCTTATTATGTTTTCCAAAGGACTGAGGGTTTGTTATACAAGAAAATATCATAAGAGGTTGGCAATGATCTTTGTGATTCTATAGAGATATCATTTTAAAGAGGCTAATACTTAGACTACCACAATCAAAATTGAAGCTTTAGAGCATATAAACTATAAAACAATTAACTCTAAGAATATTTTGGCATGAATTATTTTTTATTTTACCTGTAACAATAGCCTTCAAATGTATCTCTCTGACACCATAGAGCTGCCTATAGTGAATTAGGGTCCAAGAAGACACTTGTATTTCTGTTTGGTTTGCTGTATATCTATTTCTGCATATCCTGTATTAAAATTGGAAAGTAAAAAAATTTACCTGGGGTAAATGTCAAACTGGCGATTCTGTGAACTATAAATGTTCAACCTTTTAAAAGTAATTTAAATATGGAAACAAATGAGTGATATTTAAGTTGATGTTATAGTAGAAAAAACAAACGTGATTCATCCTGTATTTTGATTGTTGCTTTAATAAAGGGTTTGCACAGGTGTGAGGATTGTTGTATTGTGTCCCACCTAAAGGGCATTTCATTGTGGCTTGATTTACTTTTTGCAATGACATGAGATTTGTAGTCAATTATTTTCCCTACCTTCTGCATCTGCAGCTTATCTTGGCGGGGGGGGGGGGGGGGGGGGGAATGAAATAATTTTTATATAAAATTACCAACTATCCAAATTTAGAAACATTAACTTCATCCTAACAAACTTCATAGCAATTTACTTTTATCTATATCAAGACATAATTTTTTTAAAATATATTTTATTGATTTTTCTACAGAGAGGAAGGGAGAGGGAGAGGGATAGTGAGTTAGAAATATCGATGAGAGAGAAACATCAATTCAGCTGCCTCTTGCACGCCCCCCACTGGGGATGTGCCCGCAACCCAGGTACATGCCCCTGATCGGAATCGAACCTGGGACCCTTGAGTCCGCAGGCCGACGCTCTATCCCAGAGGTCCTCAAACTTTTTAAACAGGGGGCCAGTTCACTGTCCCTCAGACATTTCACACATGCGCACTGCGTGCCCGGGACCAGTCGGCTGCTAAGCAGGACAGGTAGCGGCGGCAAAAACACCCGGCGGGCTGGATAAATGTTTTCGGCGGGCCGCATGTGGTCCGCGGACCGTAGTTTGAAGACCCCTGCTCTATCCGCTGAGCCAAACCAGCTAGGGCAAGACATAATTTTTGACATGTTCAAGCTTACTGAAAAGAAGCCAGAAAGATATGGAAACTCACATATCCAGAATTTTCCATGGGAGTAGGCATGAGTAATAGGTCTGCCACAAACATCTAGACAACACCCAATCCAGGCCAAATCTAAGAACATGCTAAGTATGTCGGTTCCTTTGACGATCAGTAAGCTTCGAAAGCTGAATTCCACTCAGATGAGACACAAGCAAAACAATAAAGGAGACTACTAAATGGGAAAGTAAGGCACATGACAAGGGTAGAAAGTATTTTACTGTGGACTAAAGATGCTAAAGAAGTTACTGAGTGAGTGATACAATAAACCATGCATATAACTAACCATCCATAGGTTCTCTCAAACGATAAAAAGGGTTTAAGACAGCAGTTCTCAACCTCTGGGTCGCGACCCCTTTGGGGGTCCAACGACCCTTTCGTCACCTAAGACCATCGGAAAACACATATATAATTACATACTGTTTTTGTGATTAATCACTATGTTTTAATTATGTTCAATTTGTAACAATGAAAATACATCCTGCATATCAGATATTTACATTACGATTCATAACAGTAGCAAAATTACAGTTATGAAGTAGCAACGAAAATAATTTTATGGTTGGGGGTCACCACAACATGGGGAACTGTATTAAAGGGTCTCGGCATTAGGAAGGTTGAGAACCACTGGTTTAAGAGAATTATGCTGGCATTCATGAAAAATGAATGACTGTGTCCTCATGAAAGAGCAAATAGGTAAGTTTTGTTCTGTCCTAACCAGGTAATTTTGCCTGGTGCATATTTTCAGACACAGAACAAACAGTTACTAAATTATTTTTTGCAGATTTTGGAATGCCATGTTCTCCATGGGCCTTAATCAAAGGAGCTAGAGCTTGATAAAGCTTAATATTAATAGTGATTTTAAAAGGATATAGTCACAGAGTTGGAAAGTAAGTAGGAGTTTATCTGATTTACATGCCTTTTCTACAGTGTGCGCAACAAGTAGTAGCAGTTCAGTTCTACTTGAAAATCTCTGATATCCTTGGCAATGTAGCTCAATTGGTTGGAGCATTGTCCCATACACCAAAAAGGTTGCAGGTTCAGTCCTGTACTCTCTCACAACAATATCTCCAATATCTATCTCTCTCTCTCTCTCTCTCTCTCTCTCTCTCTCTCTCTCTCTCTCTCTCTCTGTCTTAAAATCAATAAAATCATCCTCAGGTGAGGATTTTTTTAAAAAAAAAAGGAAGAAAAAAATCTCATAAATAGAGACCTCACTACCTCATGCAGCAGCATATTCCATTGTTGATAGGTTTTAAATTCTGAGTAAAAAATCTTAAAAGTAGTATCACACTGGTCCTTGAGCTAGCTGAAAGCATGATTTAGTCCTACTATGATAAAACTGTCTCTTTTTTGCCCTGGCTGGGTAGCTCAGTTAGTTACAGCGTTGTCCTGATATGCCAAGGTTGTGGGTTCGATTTCTGATCAGGGCACATACAAGAATCAACCAATGAATGCATAAATAAGTGAAACAACAAATCAATGTTCTCGCTCTGTCTCTAAAATCAATAACTAAAAATTTTAAAAACAAAATAAAGTTATCTTTTTACTGTCAAGATAATTAAAATTATAAATGTATTCATAGAAAAGAGAGGATTACAAATATTGGGGGTGCTCCTGACAATACTACATTAATTACATGACATGTGACATTCATTCTTTTGTGTGAATGGTTTCTGCCAATTGGTGTTAGAAGAAGAAGTCAGGTGCTTCCTCCCAACACCTACACCCCTCCCCCAGGATGCCCTAAGGCTACAGCTCATTAAATAAAGGATGGTTCAACAAGCCAGAACAAAAAGGAAAGAAGCAGCAGATTTGTTGCCTTGGTGATTATGGTTTTGAAGGACCATTAGAATTGACATACTGAAAGAAGTATATATGTGTTAAGTAGAATATTGAGGTATTTTTGAATAGCAATTGAATGAGAGCCAGCACCAAGCTCACATATCCACATTTCACTGATTTAGAACAAATACTCCAAAAACTTATATGGAACCAAAAAAGGACCCCAAATAGCCATAGCCATCTTGAGAAAGAACAAAGTTGGAGAGATCACAATACCAGATATCAAGTTATACTGCAAAGCCACTGTAATCAAAACAGCCTGGTACTGGCACAAGAACAGGTATATAGACCAATGGAACAGAACAGAGAACCCAGCAATTGACCCAGCATTTACACTATTAGGGAAAATGAAGACTCCAATGGTAAAAAGATAATTCTCCTAAAATACTAAAGAACTAATATTAAATAAGCTAAAAATATGAGTGAAGATTGATAAAGCAATATGAATTTTCTCCCAAAATAATTTTTCACTACCAATGGAGTGGATTTTCTTTTAATTGACTCATGTTTTAAGGTTCATTATAGAAAAGGAATCCCAGTGAATCATGCAAAGAATCACCTATGTATAGAAGTCAAAATTGGGGGACTTTTTGTGGTTTAGTGTAAATGATATATAGCATCTTTTTCCTGAAAATTGTCATGAGTCAGATAAAGCTGATACATATTGAAGACCTCTGATGTGATTAGTACCTCTGATTTTATTATGACTGATTATTATGTTTGCAGGTGCTGCATACTTCTTCCATGTAGGCATTCATTCATAATGATTGAGATGATTGAGTTGAATTTTACATTTTACTTTCTGTGAATCCTTTGAAATCGGAAATTGCTATATTTCATTCAAGTTTACTATTCTCTATTTTATTAATCAAATATTTTACTCATTTTGTTTTTTTAATATATATTTATTTATTCAGAAGGGAAGAGAGAGGAAGAGAGAGATAAAAATACCAATGATGAGAGATAATCATTGATCTGCTGCCTCCTACATGTCCGAGGGGGACATGTGCCCCAACTGGGAATCAAACTGTGACCTCCTGGCTCATAGGTCAATGGTCAATGCTCAACCACTGAGCAACACCAGCTGGGTCATTTTACTCATTTTCAATCAATGATTTACAACATGATTACAAAAAAATAACAACAGCTGGATGATCTATAAATGTCTTTATCTGAAGCTAAAAATGGAAGTCTTGTGCTCTGACACAAGAATAAGACATTGTTATTATACTACATTCACTAATAAACTGAATGTTTATATCCACCCAAAATTCATATGTTGATATCCTAATCCCCAATATGATTGTATTTGGAGGGGGCCTTTGGTATGTGATTAGGTCATAAAGGCAGAGCCCTAATGAGAGTAGTGTCCTTTTAAAAAAGATCCCATGGAGCTCTCTGGCCCCTCCTCCCATTTAAGGACACAGCAAGAAGAAAGGCATTCTTTGAACCAGAATGGATGCCAGGACTCACCAGACACCAAATCTTCAACATCTTGATCTTGAACTTCCTGGCCCCAAGAACAGTATCTTTCTTGTTTTAGCCACTCGCTCTTATTTTTGTCACAGCAACCCAAATGGACTAAGGCTGTATAGTGGAAAATGACACAATAACACATCAAACATACATCATGTTTCCTTCAAGTCCTTACATAGAGGGTTGGATTACCTTTGAAAATATTTTCCTTAGATTTTTTTAATATCTTTTCACCACTCTTATTCAACATAGTACTGGAAGTCCTAGTCACAGCAATCAGATAAGAAGGAAACATAAAAGGCATCCAAATTGGAAAGGAGGAAGTAAAGCTGTCATTATTCACAGATAAGATGATATTGTACATAGAAAACCCTAAAGATACCACCAAAAAAACTAGTAGATTTAATAAATGAGTTCGGCAATGTAGTAGGATACAAAACACCCAGAAATCGATGGCATTTTTATACAGCAATAATGAACTCTCAGAAAGAGAAGCTGAAAAAACAGTCCCATTTACCATTGCCACAAAACAATTAAGATAGTTGGGAATAAACTAAAACAAGGAGTTAAAAGACCTATACTCAGAAAACTAAAGGACACTGCAAAAAGAGAGGAGGATATAAACAAGTGGAGAATATACCATGTTGATGGATTGGTAGAATTAGCATAATTAAAATGTCCATACTACCCAAAGCAATCTATAGATTCCATGCAATTCCTATTAAAATACCAATGGCACATTTCACTGATTTAGAACAAATACTCCAAAAACTTATATGGAACCAAAAAAGAACCCCAAATAGCCATAGCCATCTTGAGAAAGAACAAAGTTGGAGGGATCACAATACCAGATATCAAGTTATACTGCAAAGCCACTGTAATCAAAACAGCCTGATACTGGCACAAGAACAGGTATATAGACCAATGGAA